CACATAAAGCACTGGTAAGAGATCCTCAGCTTTGGTCTGCACTGTTCCAATGGAGTTTTTAAAATACTGAGGCTGTTCCAGGTTTATCCATCCTATAGCTCCTTTCCTTTTGCAAAGGTAGAAGTTTTCTGTAGAGTTTTACTATGGAGTTAAAGGAAAAATATCTTTAACTGCATTCCAGGATAAAATGTAAAGAACTACTGTCGGAATGCAGTGTCTTTCCAAAGCACTGCCTATATTAAAAAAAAAGCCAAGATGAACAACAACAACAAAACCCAATCTTGTTTGCAATGTGAGGGGCTTTCACACTGATGCTCCCCACCAGTACACTTAGAAACATTATCTGAAAGAAAACTTTTTAGAAAAGTTATAGTTTAGTTCCGTGCCGCAGTCACTGAAATCTTAACCAGACTGTCAATCAAAGTTATTTAAAGAACCGGTCAAGACTGCTGCTCCTGTGCTTTCTGTGTGAGTTTCCAAGGAACAGAAATAGAATTATTATCACGGCAGAGATTCGAAAAGGAAGCCGGGCTTATGACTTTTCGTTTTTAATGACTCGTTGCCAGCAACACAACAAAACAAATGTTTTCAGGGATGAGAGCGGAGCCGCTCTACCTCTGCGGAGCCCGGCACAGGGAGCAGCAGGCGCTGACAGCGACAGATCGGAGCTGACAGGGATGAGGGGTAGGGAAGCGATGGATGCAGCAGCTCGCAGGGCTCGGGCGATGGCGACCCCGGCGCCGTGCGACACCCGGGCGGGCGCCGGGCGGGGGAAGGGACCCGCGGAGGAGGGAGAGGAGGAGGGAGGGGTCGGTCCTCACCGGGATGCGGGGCCGACGCCGCGGCCGCCCCGTTCGAACACTGCGCCCGCCTGCAGCCCGGGGCCGCCTCCGCCGCGTCTTCGCCGGGCGCCGCCTCCGCGCCCTCCCCCCGTTCCCGCCGCGGAGGCGGCTCCGCTAGGGGCAGGCCCCGCGGGCAGGCCCCGCTCTCCGCGCCGCTCGGCGCCGCCGCTCCGCCGTCCTCCTGCTCCGCCCGGCCGCCATCGGCCGCCGCGGCCGCCGCCTCGGCCGGCGGCTCGGCCGGCACGGCGGCGGGCGCGGGCGGCGGCTCGTTGGCGCGGTCGGGGCGCGGCGCGGCCGAGGCGGTGCCCGATGCGCGGCGGTGCCGCTTGGCCGCGGGCTCGGCGCTGTCGCAGCCGGGGCCGGCGGGGCCGGGGCCGCGCGGCCGGAGCAGCGCAGCGTCCCCGTCCGCCATCTTGGCGCCGCCGCAGCCACCGCCCCCCTCGCGCCCGGCCCCCCCTACCCCCCCCCGTCCGCCGCGGTCAGTGCCGCCGCACGTGACCGAGGCACGTGACCACGGCACACAACACACCGGGACACGTGACCGCGCGCGCTGCCGGCGTCACGTGGCACTCGCGCTGCCACGACCCCCCTCCCCACAGCCCCGGGGTCACCGCGGCGCGCAGGGGCCGGCAGGGCCGGGCCGGTGAGGGGCACTTCCGGCTGCCGTGTGCCTGCCCGGGCACGGTGTGCGCCGCCACCGTGGGCTCTTGGCGTGCTCGAAGGTATTGCCTCTCGTCTCCTGGGTAACACCTTAGCCCCTTGTCTTCTGGGATTCTGTACCGCGGTGCTCGAGCTCCCGAGCTGCAGGAGCCTTCTGTGGGGTGAGCACCCGTCTGAACAACGGCTCCTGCCTTTGCTCCAAGAACATCCCCCAGTTCATTCGTTCCCACGAGCCCTGGAGGGGTGCTGGTCTCTGTGGTGCCCGCTGGTTTTTCTAGAGACCTCTTTCGTTATGTGATTTTTAAGTGCGATCCTCAGTGCCCTCCCGGGATGCTGAAGTGGGGAGGTACCACGTGTGGGCTGTCCATGGCGTAGCGCTGCTTTCTGCCCCTGAGTCTGGGCTGGAGACAACTCGGCCACTTTACTGGGACTGCCACCGACACAAAACTCTGATCAAATTTAAGTACTGTTAAGTACAAATTTAAGTACTGTTGAATGTTACTGTTCAACATCACAAGCTGTTTGCAGAAGGGTTTTAGTGAATTATACAATGGAATTCCTAGGTTTAGTGACAAGACCCAGACTGGATAGGTAGAATTTCCTCCTTTCAGGCCTTCATAGCTGACAGCTTTTAAAAATCTTTGGATTGAAATTTTTGTCACATGGGTTTTGGCTTCAAAAGGGACTATTTTTTATTAGATAACTCACTTTATAGGTGGTCTGTGTTTTTGTAAGTGAGGGAATTATTTTTTTTCTGGTTCTTGCAGGTATTAACAACCCTGAAAAACATGTGCATGCCATTTTCCACACTTTATCAAAACAAGTTACTGAGAAACAAGATGTGAATCTGATAGTTTTTATTATTCTGTGCAAATTTATATGCAAACATTCTTTTTCCTTACTGAAGCTGAGGCCAGAATCAGATTTCTTAAGAAGCACACGCAAGATGGTTTTGTCAGTATATAAAGGAGAGCTGGGGTGTTAATGTTCTTGTTTTGGTGGTTGTTGATGTGAAGACTGCATTCTAGGGAAGAAAATCTGTAAGTGATGTAGATATATTATCTGAAGGTATTGGTGAGGGAGTGACTTGAGGATCCTAAAGCTGCCTCTGATATTTCAGACATTTGTCACGATAACAATGGTGTCGCAGTAGTTACCCTTAGTTTGGGAAGTCTGTTTGGCAGTGCTTGGGTCCTTTTCTGTTTCTGCTTCTCTGAGCTTGTGTGGGGACAGGGATGGAGCACAAAATGCGAAACTCAAATGAGTTGAACTTCTTGTGAATCTGCACTCTGTCCACAGGAGGCAAAACCCCTGAAGTCAGTTGAGAAGAACTGGCCCTGGAAGTATACACCCCTGGTGTATTTAGAGGAATAAATTCAAATAGATTTCCAGATCTTGCTGTTTTACTTGAAGGGTCATTTGTGACTTTTACAAGGTGTTGGTAAATGTCCTGTTACACTGAACCAGAATTTAGTTTCGCACTTGGCTCTAAACAAGTGAAATTGTTGGTCTGTGCTAGGACTGAATGGATGAGGTTTGTTGGTGGTTGGCTACAGAGAACAAATATGAGATTTCCTCACTTCCAGAACTGTTTGTACCTCCTGAGCAACACCAACCCCGGCGTGTGTAGGCAATAATATGTGCCATGTCCTGTGCTGTAATTCCACTGCAAATAAACTTTATGTCCTGGGGCTAATCTTTGGGGTTTTTTCCTGTGTATTATATACAGGTTCTCTTGTTCTCCTTTTTGATGATGCTTTGGGAATTACCCCACTGAAGTCAGGAGGAGCAGTAGAAGGCTGAGGTGTTACTCGGTGTCAGTGTTTTGTGTACTCCATACAACAAACCTTCAGCCTGGGCTGTGGGAGCCTTTGTGCCCCAAGGCCTGGGGGTCTGCAGGGGGCAGGGGCACAGCTGTGGGCGCTGCTGCAGTTTGGATCAAAGCCCTTGTTTGTTTGGCCTGAGCAGGTGAGTATGGATGGGGCCAGGGCTTCAGTGAGCACGTTCGCCGGGAACGAGCAGCTTCCAAGTCTTGGGGCTTTGTCACTGCAATCCAGCTCTTGGGCCTGCAGCTCCACAAAAGTAGCCACTGAAAGCTGGACTGGAAAAGGGTTAAAGAGCCTTCCCTTTCACCTTTGGCAAATACGCAAGGAATACTTGGAAAAGAAAGGGATGTCAGGAATGCTGCTGGGAGGAGGGACAGCTGTTTGTTTTTTGTCCTCCCCAAAGTACATTTTATTTAAATATTTACATATTCTCTTGCTAAATGGCTTTCATTTTTTTCTTATACTTTTCTGATTTATTATTAAGTTATGAATTAATTTAATAGGGGGAGACAGGTTTGTAGTTGCTAATTCTTCTGCTTCAAGTTGAAAAAGCATTTCTGTTGTTTTTTTCACTCAGAGAAGTATGATGCTAGAGTTTTCTAACAGATTTAAATGGCTTCATTGAGGCTTGTTCTTTGTCTTTGAATATTATTACTTCTTTTCATGTACTTTCTATATTTTATAATCTCAGTAAGCTATCTGAACATCCTGTAAAAATAGAAAACTTGAGACAATACAACCTTGAAGAGAAAGCAGTAGAAGACTAATAATAAATGTAATTGCAGAACATTAATAATGTAGATAATAAAGTCAAGCACTTGTAGATGCAAAATTTATATATTTGTTATTCATAAACAACTCTGAATGGCCCCTGGGTCCTTCATTGTGCATACCTGTCCCAGCCTTGGTCACACCCTGGGGATGTGTTCTGCACTGATTCTCCTGCAAAATCACTGCATCTAGAATTGTGTACCTACTGAAGGCATCTGTTTTAAGTATTAGTTTAAAAAATATGCAATATTTAAGGACATGAAGCATCTTGGATTACAAAGTTCTTGCAGGGGTGGGAAAAGTAAAAACAGAACTCCTGAGGCTCCAGAGAAAATACTTCAGCACGTGTTTGGTATTACAGCTGGGAGGTAATCTTCTGAAATAACAGATCATGGAAGACACCAGTTGTGTCTGTAGTCTTTGTTGGGCTGAGGCCTTGGTCACTAAATATAGTTCAAAATTGAAGGTATTTCACTTCAGTGTAAAATGAGTTTTACAAGGAACGTGTTTGTACACAGTACACACCTTCAGTACACAATTTGAAAGTAAGGTAGCATGAGGAAGGGTCCCCATTTAATTTGATAGTAGTATAATGCCTTTGGATAGTTTTAATTTTGTCAGATACGTGACTGATATACAGGAGCTGTTTGGTTTTGAGAACTGGTGTGAATGTACCTGAGGAAGCTTCGGTGAGTAGATTGCCCCATTTTTTATGAGGTGACTGACAGAATTGACAGACTTTGGCAGGGTCAGTACCCTGTAATCATTATTTTGGAGGTATTTCTTACTCTTTTCTATAATTCCCCATTTAATCCCCTTGTCAAAGACTGTGGCAAAAGTTACAACTAAAGATCGAGAAGCAGATGTGGGCTCAGGGAAGCGTGTGCTGGTTTGCAGTGGCCGCAAAGGTCCTGGCGTGAGCGAAATCTCAGTCAGAATTCGCTCAGTGCCCAGAACTGGTTTGGACGGGATGCTCAGTTTAACGTTGAAGTGACTCGGGCAACTACAAATCCCAGGGAGCTTTGCTGGGAGCAGGTTTGTGCAGGAGGGTTGGCATCCTGCAGGGACCAATGGCAGCGGAGAACTCTTCAAACCCCTGCGTGTCAGCTGCCAGCGCTCCAAAGCACCGGAGAGAGCTGGAGAGCGGAGTGGGAACCGCCTGTTGCCCTGGGCTGATTTAAAGTCCTCTGTGAGCTGTGAATTGGCGTCATATTCTGCAACCTCTGTGCCGGCTGGAAAAAGCGCTACTGGAGTAGTGCCGATGGATGCGATTCTGAACTGCAGCGTGGAGGATTTGGAGGATTACTACAACTTGCTAGGATGCGATGAGCTATCGACGGTAAGAACCTTCCCTCGCTCCCCCAGGTTAATCACAGTTTGAATGTGCTCGGCTGTCCGCGGGGAATTTGCGGGCAGGACTGTCTGAAATGACTGGTGAACCTTCTTGCCACTTGTAGCATCTCCCTTGGAAAGCTCGATTTTCTGATGTGTGCAGCGACGTGAAGAGCCCAGAATAAGGCTTAGGTTAAGAGTGCCCTGTAGAACAGGAGTGTGGTAGGGATACAGCTGAATATAATAATGGTTTATTCATTGGTGTAGATCCACAAGTGGACAAGCCAACTGCATACATGTGACAGCATCCAAATAATATTTTGGAATATGGTTTTGAAAAATGAAAAGCAGCTATTTATGTGCTACTAAGATGACGAATGTTTGTATAGCTATAGGGCATTGATAATCCTGCCGAGTTTCTCAGGCCTTATACATATTTCAGGTGTTCTTAACTGTATTCATTGGTTCAGAGGAAAAACCAAAATAATATCTCTTTTTCGTTCATCATATTATTGTTTCTAAGTTCTATTTTTAGTGACATTAAAATACCAGCTTTACTAATTTGTTTCGGTAGCAGATACATTCTTTATAATGAGATCTCTACCTAAGCAATTGTTGCATTATTTGTAGCTAAACCAAGTGTGCTTCATCATAAAGGTGCCTGTGTAACATTTTTTTGAAAGTCTGGTATGCTAAGTCTCTCACCTGTCCTAGTGGTCAAGTGTAAAGATCAAGGGGAGATATCTTCGTTGTGTCACAGAAGGAAATGTAAAGCTGTTCCTGAGGAAACTCCTAGAAGGGATCCCAGCAGAGGGCAGTGCTCAAGTCTCCGTGCAGTCTCGTTTCGCAGATGCTGTTCCTCGTTTTCTACCCCACACCAATTCCTTAAGATCTTACCTATTAACGAGAGCAGTTCAAGTACATCTCATAATGGGTTTTCAGGTTGCTTAAAATGAACTTAAAAAGCTGGAATAAATGCTTAGTGGGCCCTGAAGAATAAGCTGTCAGGTGCTGTTTGTTGAGAGAAGCAGCAGACGTCGCTGCCTTGTTTTTGCCATGTTGAGGTCACAGGCTGGCCGAGCCCCGGGATCACCTCCCCTCAGGATGCTGCACAGCAGTGTTAAGATCTAACAGAAATTTAGGGCCTCACAAGCGTTTTGCAGCCGTGCTCCTTTGTACATGCAGTGTTTATAGCAGCACAGACTTCTCTGTGCTACTCTGCTGCTACTGTACACGTTGAAACTGCAAAGTTCCCCTTTAAGTAACCTTTGAGATGGTAGCTGGCTATACAGTAACCATCTTCATCAAGTTGTCTGTAGGATATGTGTATTTTTAAGTGCTGTACTGACTGGAGATACACCACATTGCATCTCTTCCTCTGGAAGAAGTTACTGAGAAGAGGGAAAAGTGTAGAATTCCTAAGATACCACCAAAGACCACATTTTTCCGCAACATATGCCAGCAAAATTTGGCAAGCTAGTTGAGCGAACTGTGATTTTATTCTAAAGGAAAAATGTTATGAGCCTTAATTTTGAAATAAATAATTTAAATTGTATGTGGCTCTCATGGTTTGAAGGATGAGGAATTTATATAAACAGCCTTTCTTTCATGGGAAAAAATAGTAACTAATTGATACCTCAGGGTGAATTGTTGTGAAAACTTAAGCTGTACTGGAATGATATAAAGAAGTTTTGGCTTCTGAATTATAATAGGCAGCAAGATACTTGGAAAAGCACTAAACATTTGAAAATCTAAGCTGGTGCCCACGCGAGTGGTTTCCTGTATTTTGTTAATTGTTAATATGTCTTTGTTCTTCCAGTGGTTGTGATACTTTATGGTACTACAAACTGTGTGGGAACTTGTAATTCATTAATAAATGTGCTAGTATTGATTATAAATCTGTTTTATTCCGAGCCAACCTTTTTGCACTGAAAATTAACTTGCAGGAAGAATGTGAGCTGCTGGTTATCTAGCAATGGGGTATCCAAGATAGAAAAGCCATGTGATGCTGGCTGAACTTCCTATGAAGAGGATATGGAGGAAGCCACCTAATCCCCCAAATGGATCTTCAGCAGTACAGAAAGAGTTAGAGTTGATTAAACAAAGTAAAGAGCAGCTGAAGTGATGCATTTTGCCTGTGTGGTCAAATGTCTTTACACATATTTCTTAGAGCCAACTTGCCATATTGAATGACTGAGCTTCATAAAAACAAGAGTAAGGATGAGTGCATGGAAAACGAAATTAAATAAGCAGTGTCACTGGCAGATGGTTGTTGTTACCTACTTTGCTTGTACTAAAGGTTGTAAAAATGAACAGGACAAAATCTTTCAGCATTCTTAGTTAATCTTCCCAGCCCCTTTCAAAAATCAAATTTGAAAATCTTTTCTGTGTCTATCTATTTAACTACTTTAAGTCTCAATATTCTGTTTAGGTGGAACAAATTCTTGCAGAATATAAGATTAAAGCCCTTGAATGTCATCCTGACAAGCATCCTGGAAACCCCAAAGCAGGTATGTATTATTTCCTGTTTAAAAGCAATTAACACGACCAAGGTGCTAAATTCAGCCTTAAAACTTTGTTAAATATTCCTTCTCCTCAACATATTTTAATCATCATGTGCATTGAGCATATTCTACTTAAATAGCAAGCTTTTAATGTTCTTTTCTAAGGCTTGCACACATTTAGGTGATAGTGCAGAAAGACACATGTTGGGTTTTTTTGTTTTCTAGGATTTTCTTTTTTTTTCCTTTCCGTGGCTTGTTTTCCCCCCCAAAACAGGTGGGACCTGAGCTGTGAGAACTAAGCAACACCTGAGTTATTTGGATCCAGTCTGACCCATTCATAACCACAGACAGGTCTGGTCGGTTCTCACCCCCATCTGAGGAGTTTATATTCTTATCTTCTGATCATGATTTCGATCCCCCACCAAAATTTTGTTGTTGAATAATTTTATATGCTTCTCATTTTAAATAATGCACAGAACCTTTTCTTTGGATTCTTCCTATTGGTTGAACTATAAACTATAATGCAGGGCTTTCCTTTCCTTAGTGAGCTCATAGGAGAGGAGGGGAATGTGGGTATTCAAATGTCAAACCAGCTTTGTTCGTCAAGAAGGAATGTTTTATGCTCTATTTACCTGAACATGCTGTATTTACTTTAAATACCTTTTTATGCTACTGGTGAAAGTTTACTTCATATTTTTTATTTCATTGGCTTAAAGCTCAATAAAGAGTAATTAAAGTAGACCTTTTATTTGTTGAAAACTAGTAACACTATAAGGAAACTTAATATAACTGACCCCTCAGCCTGTTGTCTCTTGTTTGATTTGTAGTTACCAATTTTGATTAGTGTTTGGGCATAGTGTATTTCAAAAGAAATCTCTCTAATTTGTAGACTGGAATAAATGAATAATAGATCACTGTAACATGGGTGAGTCACAGATAAAGTCTAAATCTTTATAACCCTTCTACAAATAGTAACATGCAGCTGCATCCTTAGTAACCATTTCATGAGAAATGACCCTGGAGGGAAGAAGGAGAGCTCTCATTCATCCAGCCTGGTATTCAGGATGACATTTTAGCATATGTAGGGAGAGCACACCTAACAAAATGCACAAGTTAATTAATTTGAACTATCTTTAGATTATTTTTCTTGCTTCTCAGTTTCTGCTTGTCTGTTTTTTGTCTTTTCCTATTTTCTTGGTAGTGTACCTTTCTCTGACTTCCTTGCTTCTGTAGATCCAAGTGTGTTCCTTCTAAGCAGCGTTGCTCTAACTTCCCTTTTTAAGGTTGTCTGCAAGGGCTGACTTGTGCCTTTTGCCTGTGTACTCTCTCAGGTTTTCTCAGCTTAAATTTAGGAGCTTTTGAAGGCAGTAGACTAAGAAGCATTTTATTCCTCATTTGAAAGGGTGTCAGCTGTCCACCAAAGGTGATCCTGATGCCAGCTACAGCTGTGCAAGCTGTAAGCAGAACAACCACATCCCTCATTGACTGGCATCTCCTTCTGCCTCCTCTGTTCTGTTTGCTCTGAGCCGTTGTTGGCATCTGAATTCAGGGCTTAGAAAACAAATACTGGCTTTAGCATCCTTTTGGTTTGTGTTCTAGTGGAGAGTTTCCAGAAGCTGCAGCAAGCTAAGGAGGTTCTCACTAACGAAGAGAGCCGGGCACGCTACGATTACTGGCGACAGAGCAAAATCACCATCCCCTTCCAGCAGTGGGAGGCCCTGAGCAGCTCCGTGAAAACGGTTGGTGGTGCCTAAGTTGGGCCTTCAGGAGGAAGGGAAGGTAGGGCTGGGCCAGACAAAAGGCTGCAGTGAGTGACGGGACGAGTTAACAGCAGTAGAGGGGCTTGGGGATGGGAATAGCACAGAGTGATTCCTGCACTACTGGATGTTAAGGAAATTGAGGAAAAACTGGAGGGCTATAGAAGCCCATTCATAGAAGGACTGTAGTTTTGGAGTGAGTTTATCAAGTTGCTGCTTTTGTGTTTGTGTGTTTCAGGAAGTAACTTAAGGTCTGTTTCCAAATGCTTCAGCATGCCTTGTTTTTTAGGAAGCTTTTATTTCTTTTCAAAGTTAGATTAAAGCTGGGACCTTTATGTAATATATTCTCCTTTTGGTATATTGCCTATCAGATAGGTTTTCATGCTATCTGATTAAAGAAAGAGCTCATTGAAAAATCCAGAAGATAGGTTCCTTGAAACCCTTGGCTTCACGCAGGGCTTTGGAGGGACCCTGCTGTGCTAGTGGGGTGACTTATGACAGAGGGTTGTTTTCCCTCATGTTTTTACTATGCTCCTAGCAGATCTTAATTCCATAATATTTGATTTTTTTTTCTACTTTATTAGAGTGAATGATAGTTACAACAATATAAGAAAGAAAAGTTCAATAATTCTTTTTTACGGCACAGGAATTAGTTATTTGTTACTTTTTGCATTCCTTTAGTCAATGCACTGGGCTGTCCAAAGTAAGAAGGAACAAATGCTGGAAGCTCCTGACTTCAGTAATACCAACATAACTCATGAGATTTGGACCCAGCAGAGGGAAAACAATGAAGATGGATTGTTGGAAGGGAACAGGGAGCAAGAAGATGTTGCAACTCCTGATGTGAAGCCACAGTCTTCAAAGAATCCAGACTTCCCAAGTAAGTGAAAACAGCAGTTACAGAAAATTACAGTATCCAGGGATTGGCCTGAAATGGGGGCTTTTAATCATGAGCTATTCTTCTTCAGAACAATATGTTTGACTGGTAGGTTTTTTATCATGGGCTTGGGTTGGGGTTTTGTTTTGGGGTTTATGCTTTTTCTTATTTTAATTTTGAAGTTTTCAGACCTTTCTTCTTCCCTATCGTGTTTCCTTGCCTGTTTTCTAGTAAAGCCAGAGAACCTGAGTAGAAGAAAAAAAGAAAGCTGTAACCAAAATGGAAAGTTCAGTTTTGCTGCTATATGAAAATGAAAAATTTTAAAAAAATTCTTTTCAGTGACTTTAAAAAAAAACCTTTTAAAACAATTGAGTGAAATATTTAGGTTTCGTTTTCTATCCAGTATGTATTAGTTCTGAGCAGTTTGCATCTGATGAGTTAATGAGGTCTAAAATTTGAGACTTGAAGGCTTTTTTTGTATTCAAACAGGGCTTTGAAAATATAGTGCATGCAACCAGGATAAATGTGTATTTCAAATTGTCACCTATCCAGTCAGTACAGTACAGTCACATTACAGTCAGTGCCTCTGTCTGTTGTCTAGGTCAGTGTGCCTGACCAAAATTTACTTACCACAGCAGCCACCCTCTGTTGTGCCTGATCGTTTAGGAGTTTCATAAGCTTAAGCTTATATTATCAGAGAGCTATTATTAAACAAAGCCCTGTAATTTTTTTTCCCGGTTTGATCAAGCAGGAAATGAAAATCAGCTGTGAGGATGGTAAAACCTAATGTAATCCCAACCATTTGTGGAATGCAGAAAATAGATGAGAAAATTAAACAAACAAATGGATGTCAGGCCTAACTGAAAACTTGATATTGAGAAATTATGCTCTATAACTTTACACTATTTGCTCTTTTTTTGGTAGTTAAATCACCACTGTAGAATAGTAAAATTTTGAACTAAAGAAAAAAATCATCCTGTTCCTTGTAATGGTGAATTTTCTTTGCAGGCATCTTCTTTCTCAGGGTTTTTATTTTCTAAGTTTTAATTTAATTTCCAGATATTTAAATGGAAAAAAAAAATCAAACCCATCAAGCACCAAACTTAATTTACCCAGTAGGCATATATTTACATTAATAAATGTTGACATTATAATATGTTTATTTGACAGGGTCTACATGTACTTCAGTGTTTATGCTTAATGTTAGACTGTTGATAATGCTTTTGTTTTGATCCAGGAAAAATTACTACATTGGATTCCACTTTTAAACTGTGATGTTTTCAGTTCCTCTCTGCTGGTCTGTACAAATTACAGACTACAACTCCACGTAGCTCTTTCAGCCTGAATAAGAGATTTTTTTACCCTAATTCTGCTAATAGGTTTAATTTTCCTGATATAGGAAAATCACATTTTAGTATTAACTGGCAGATTTATCATGTCACCATCTGTCTCTTCTTTAGGTTAAGCCAGTGCAATTTGTTCAGTTTTTCTTTGGGAATCCTCTTTTGTGGACTGCTGTTTTTCTTGCTGTTCTCTTTTGGACTCTTCCCAGCTGATCTATACCTTGAAGTTTGGTGTTTGGGTTCTTGTTCAAACATGGCAAGAATCCTGATCCTGCTGGTCAGGAGCACTGAAGTGACCAATTTTTTATTTATTTTTTTGGAGGGAAGACTACCAAGTATTATTTCAGACAATTTTATACTTAATTTATAATAACTTACTTGCCTTTCTCTTTTCCTTTCTCAGGATTTTCAGAGGGAAATTACTGGCACTTGCGTTTCCGCTGGTCAGGTGATGCTCCATCAGACCTTCTGAGGAAATTCAGAAACTATGAGATCTAAAATGCAGAATATACAAGAGCATGATAGCATGTGTTCAACAGCTCAGTATTTTTTTTGTGTCAGCATTTATAAGTTATTTGTATTTTGTATTCACTCATTGTAACGTGTATGTTGTTCCAATCGATGTCTAAATATGGATTTAACACACGTGCTGTGAGCATTACAGGTGGAGATCTTTCTGTTCAACAAGCAATGCCTTTTCAGTATTAACATGAAATGATTTTGTGAAGTTATCCAGTCTTATATATCGTTTCTTGTATTCTGGAATACTGCATAGTGATTAATATTTCTCGGATTGCTGTGATGTTATAAAGAACGTACTCAGTAGAACAGAAAGTCCTTGTGGGACTCCAGGGTATCGTTCTATTCAGAGATGATCATCCTAAAGCTGTTTGACAATGAACTGTAAACAAAACTGTGCTTAGTTCTGAACTCTGTGCTGTGGTTCACTTCTCCATGGCATTGTACTCACTGCAGTGGTTTACAATGCAGGCATTACAAACTTAACTTGTTGGAGGATCATGATTTTATGATAGAGATGAAAGAAGAAGGTTCTTATTATCCATGGAGGTCACTGTGATAGATCAAGCACTCCTAAAAATCACTGGCTTTCTACCATAACAAGTACACTTTTTGCACCAGCTGTTTATTTTGGAAGGCAGTTCCAAAACTTTACCTGTCCAGTTAGCAATGTTTTTTAATTAAGATTTATTGGTGGACAACTGGTCCTCCTTGCTACGTGTGCCAGCATTGTCCTGTGGCTTCGTAGCGATTTCCCTCCCTGCTCAGGTGGGAGTAAACATCAAGTCAGCACTAATGTGTACAAAATCTCACATGCTAGGTTTTTGCTATTTTGGGCAACTTCTCAAATTCTGCATAGTTGTTTATTTATTTTGTATTTGCTTTCTTCTTTGCAAATCTGGCTAATATGTCAGGTATTAACACTGTGGTTTTGTGCAGGCAGATAATTCCATCAGCAGCAAATAAAACTGCCTGTACACTGGAAAGGGGTTGCTTTCATCTTTTTAATTAAAT